TCAACCAAAAATTAAATTACTATGGGCTTCCTGGTTTGCTGAATTCTTCTGCAGTTCAAATTTCAGATTCTTAATTCACTGTGCAAAAATTAAGATAAAACATATGGGAATTTTTAAAGTGCTAAGCTATAGAAACTCACACAGAGCAGTTCAGCTTGGGCATCCCAGTTTGAAAGGGGATTCAGTAAAGCCATGGAATGCATATTTTAGACAGTAGAAAGATTACGTGATGGAGCATCCTGGAAAAAAAAAAGCCGTAAAAAGCTAGAATGATTCTGCCTTGACAACAGAGAAGCAAATAAAAAAATGGCTGATAAAAATACAGTAAAGTAGCTGAAACTATTATAAACTGACAGTGAAGACAGTGTTATTGAATAAGTTTGAAATAAAGGCCTAGAACAGAACCGACAGAATGTAATCTGTTCAATACAAACAAAAACCCCCAAAAGATTGTTTCCATTATGGTGGAAGTGAGCAGTGATATTTTTTTGAAGAATCAGATAGCTGCATGGGACAAACCACATCAGTTCTTTTGGTGCTGGGGTGGACCTGGCTGTAGATAGGGCTAGGGGATGAATTTTGCACAACTTACATGTCTTTGGTATTAGAGCCATTACCATTTTGGTATCTTGAGGTGTGTTCATCATTTGCTGTTTGAGGTGTTCTAGTTAGCTGTGGTTGTATGGAGAGGTCACATGGTGTAATGTGTGCTCCCAGATGGAGCAACACAAGCACTTACGAAGCAAACAGTAACACGTATCAATTTAAAATGTAAACTTGCCACTTTATATTTTCCTTTCAAGAAATGTTCCTGTATGTCTAAATAACTCAGTGAAAATGTTAAGGTACAGAAAATAAACCCAGGATTTAAAGAACGGATATTATGATCACTGTTGCAGCTCCTACTCAGTAGTTTCCTGTGTCCACAGAAAACATAAGATCCAGTCGTTTATCAATTCAATGACTGGAGTTGTTAAGATTAAATTAAAGATACCCACAGTTTAAAGTGAGTTTGTACTTGATGCCTGAGTCTGTGCCTGCTGGAAACTGAGAACTCCAGTTCCTAAAAAAAGGTCTGATCACAGATAATGAAAATAGCAGGAACACACATGCTTCTGTATTAGCAGGTACTAATGCAACCTCATTCTTGTGTGCTGCCTGTCCAGGGGGCTCAGGGAGTGTTATGTCCCAGCATCTAGTAACATACGAACATTGACTGAAGCTTTTCTTGGATTTGGACATTCATACCACATTCCCACTATTGGGTTTCTGGTGTCTAGTTACAGTGCAATATACCCTATAACTCTTCACTGAGAACATGACTAAAACTTCCTCATTTTCCTGGAACTAGTCAAGCTTAATATTGCTGAATTCACTACCTCTGTTAGATATGGGTGATGGTTGCTGGGGCATTCAAGAGCTGTTGCAAAAAACATGACTGTATTTGGCTTCATTGATTATGAAATGTCACCCCCAAACCATTAATTTAAAACTAACTGGTTTCCACTTACGGGAATTGGGAATTATGAGGCTTCGGAATCTTTTGATAGCTTTTTGAATACTTGATAAAGAAACCATTATTCATCTAACATCAGCTATGCACTATTTTCTCTCACTCAGGTTAGGGGCTTGGTTTTTGGCTATGCAGAAGGGCTTGTTTATAAACAAGGGAGTAACAAAAGTGACAATATGTGTACATACATATCGGTGCTACTGAAGGATGACCTTTTCTCTTTCTCTTTTTTTTTCTTTCAAATAACAGCCAGTCTCAAGAAAAGCAGTCTGCTTGGCTGAATGCTTTTTCCCAGGATAGCATTTCCTCTCTTGGAGGGAAGTTGCCTCAGTCACATCTCTATTTAACTGTCTGCCCTTCATCCTCCCCACCCAGTCTGCTGATCTATGTTTCCAAATATACCCTTAATTATAGATCTGAAAATGGAGAAACATAAGAATAGCACACAGTGGCATGTTCAGGTTTCTAGTCTGCTTTCATAACAACATACAGTGCTGTTCTGCAAAGCAGCAGAACAGATTTAAGATCACAGAAAATTGTCTCTGGCTTACTGTTTCTGGTTTTGTAGGCACTTGTGGAATTCCCAGTACAGAGATTTCTTCATTACTTGGCATATGCTTGAAGATGCTAACATAATGTGCAGGGCTATTACATGAGTTAAATAGAAAAAACAGATCCCAATACATGGCTTGACTTAATAATACTCTAATCTGTAGGGCAGTGGATATCGCATTTCAAATTGTTCAGATACAACTGCTTGCAAATCTTTGCTTTGCAGTCCTGAAAATGGTTGGCATCACAGGTGTCTCAACCTGATTTAGCATTGCAGTCATTATTAGGCTATTTTTTAAGCATCCTTAGGCCTACAGAGTACTTAGTATCCTTTTTTATGGCTATTCAAATGATGGATATCATACAGATGAAGTGGTAAAACAGAAAGCAAATTACTCCAGGGTCTGCACAGGAGTGTCACTTATACAGGAAAGGAGTCCTTAAAACTATGTGTGGATTGGGGTAAAGTCTAGAGTGCACCAAAAATACGGTACAAATGAAGCTCAGTAGACATCACATCTGGTTTCACCATCTCTGTAGTTTTTGCTTCGCATAACTACATATAGTTGTCTGAATATATATAATACAAAGGACCTTTACATAATATCGTAAGAACTGACTGGCTCTGCTTGCTTCTGAATCCTTTCAAAGAAGAGAGAAGAGAGGTTCATTTTTTAATGCTGCTTCTATAGCCCAGGCAACTATGTAGTTCCTTTGGTGGTCTGCTCTGGCAGACAGTGTAAGCAGCATGAGCAGCTAGGTCTGTGCCATGGGTATGAATTTGGAAGTCAGCACACCTGTAGATCTCATGCACTTTTACTCAGTGAGCACTAAAAATTTCTCAATGCACGTTTCCACACTTTTTTTTTTTTGACTGGGTGGAGTTCAGGAAGAAGCCAAAAATGTTCTTGCTTGTGTAATTTTCAGTTAAGATCAGTTGAAATTAATTCTCAAATGCGTTGTCTTTCCATCAGCTTGTGTAACAATTAACACAAGTTATGTGATGCCACATGCTTTGGCAGAGGAGCTAGAAAGGTTACAGTTCAGTGGGATTTGGAACATGGAAATCCAAACCTATTTAAAACTGTAAAATAGTAACAATTTGCAATATTCCTTACCTCTTAAGAACATCTCTTCCCTGCCTCTCTGAAGAGGAAAGAAGCCTGAGCTGCTTTTAAATTCAGTTATTTTCAAGCATCTTTATCTTTTGGAGACTTACCTCTCTTTGAGACCTGCTAGGAATGCTCATGATGCACAAAAATACTCCCACTGCCGAGGAGCAGCATTGACTCTTGATGTACACATTCACATGCTTCATGCATTGCCTGTCATATTTAAGATGTTTGATTACATTTCCACATTAATTTTCAGCATCAAATTCTGCCCATGTTGTATAAAGGTAAAATCCTGACTTCAGCATTGCCTAAGATGGAGCTCAAAATCTTTACTGTGTTATGTACAGCCATGTTAATGGTGAAAGCTCTTTGTTGAGTACATGTCCATGGGTTACTGTTTATGCAAACTGTGGCCACATGTTCCCTCCTGAGATTAGGCAATCACTTCATATAATCTCTCATTCTGTTGATTGCTTTACTGCCCATAAAAGAACATTTATATAACCTACCTGCACAGAAAACCACATCCCTTCTGTTTGAGAGATGAGGCTGATGACAGGCTGAATTTCCACATGTGGTTTTGGAGCAGCAGCTAGGTCTTGTCTTACTTAATCCCCTGCAGCAACTTTGTTCCAGACTGTGTCCTAATTTTTTATGAATAATAATGATTCTCCTATCTTTACACAAGGCATCCCACATTTCCTCACAATAGAGCTTTTCTTTGAGAAGGTATTGCCAAATTCCCAGCAAAACTGGGAAGCACTCTAGAGAACTTATTACCGCTACCAGAGTGTTGTCAACTTTCATAGTGCATGGAGGGGGAAAGCATTTGGCCAAGGTGCTTGAAGACAACTTCTAAGAAGGTATCAAATCAAAACTAGAGACAACTGAGGAGAAAAAAATAGTTCCCAGAAAGGAGGAGAAAAGGGAACAATAGAGAACTAGTGGAAGAAAGTCCACATCCACAGTTTCTTTGGCCCAGCACACAAATCATCACCCCCATCATCAACACATCAAATCAGGCAGGTGAGTAGGCACCTGACTGTTCTCATCCAGATCTGATGTGCGGTTGGGAGAGAGGGAGATAAGTTGTGCAATACCTTCATCACCTTACTGTTAACGCTGGGTAATACAGATCTTACACAATCCCTCTCCAGAACCTCTTCTCTCCTTAGGAACCAGACTGTCATGCCTACTGCAGGCTACCAAATGCAGGATATAGAAAAAGGTAGCTGATCCCATGCTAACTAGTCAGAAGAAAAGGTGTGCCTCATGGTGTTGTCAACAGCAGAAGCAAAACACTGCATGTTAACTCTTGCCTTCCTTGTCTGAAAGCAGTCATTGCATTCGGCAGTCCTTCTAGTGAAGGACATTGCTGACCCCGTTTGTAACGAAAACATACACAGAGAAAATTAACTTGGGCAATAGAAACATCTGGTCATTGCCTTACCAAAAAACAATGCCGTAGCTCAGGAATAAGCAAATATTCAAGAGAGTCCAGTACAGATGTTCTTAAAGTCTGGAAGTCCAACAGACTACGAGAGAGAAGAAATGTGACATCTGTGAAAGGATCAGGAACCTAGCATCCCTGAAGATCCATTTATCAAATAAGGTATCACTTGTTTGATTTACAGTACTCTTTTAACAGGTTAGAATAGCAGTGTTGACCTCTCTGACAGATAGTGCCACCTTCTCCATCCAGTAAGTGCCAAGTGGCATCTCCCTTGCTCCCAATTTTTTTATTCTCAATTTTGCATTCAAAACCTGCCCATGGATGACACTGCTATCCCTCCTAATCATGCTGCGTTTGCTTCCTGCAGGTGAACGGCCTTTTGAATGCAACTGGCAAGGGTGTAACAAGAAGTTTGCTCGCTCGGATGAGCTGGCCCGTCACTACCGCACCCACACTGGAGAGAAGAAGTTCAGCTGTCCACTCTGCGAGAAGCGCTTCATGCGCAGCGACCACCTCACGAAGCACGCCCGCCGCCACGCCAACTTCCACCCAAGCATGCTCAAGAGGCGAAGCGGAAGCAGCTCAAGAACAGGGTCTGTCAGTGACTACAGCCGCTCCGATGCCTCAAGTCCAGCAATTAGCCCTGCCAGCTCCCCATAGACCTACCTGCACTGGATGTCAGCACTTTGCCTCTAATACCTAATGTGGAGTTTTGTTTGTGTTGCACACATTTAAAAAACTCTGTTGCTTCCCATCCTCAGCTCCCCACCCGCCTTTGGTTTTAATAGCTGCCTCCCACTGCAATTTCCAGTCAAATTTTCTTTATCCAACCACACAAGTGGCTATTCTAACCTCATGGACAGACTTACACGTTACACTTAATGACTCCTGCTGTCTCAATATTTCATACATTTTGCAACCATTTACAGATCCTCTTGATTATTCTTTATAAGAAAATGAGAAAATCTAAAAAAAAAAAATAATCCCCACTTAATTCACCTCAGGTGTCAAAGTAGTTTTTTAAGACCTGATTGCACAACATGAGCATACATACACTTACAAATCAACTGTGTTGGATTTTGTCCCCCTTCTCCTTTCTCAGGGATGGATATTTATATTACACAATAATTACAATGAAGACACACCCTAACCGCAGCCTTACTTTGTAAATATATTTGCACTCAGAAGCTTTTTGTTAGGTTCTTGCACACACTGGGGAAAAACAACAAACAAACAAAAAACAATACAAAACCCAAACCAGTACTGGAATGTCCTACCAGACTCTTCCATTGCTTGTTTTCCTGATTACATACATTGGGGAGTGTCCAAACTGGAGTCCTGTCTTTCTTCAGGCTGGCCTATGCTTTTGATAGCGAGCCATCTTTTCACTTCATGCTGAAGATGCTCCAATCCTATTGCAAAAATCTCTGTGAGGTTGATAAACTTGTTTGTTTCATGCTAGATAAAATTCTGAGAAAAAAAAAATCTAAATTAGATGCCTTAAGTAAATAACCTAAATCACGAGGAAGCATTTTACACTGGGCAACTTTTGATTGCAAGGTGGCATGGAATCTCAGAGGCATTCTGTTGTCACTCTCTCCAAGTTGTAAGCTCTCTGCACTGCCTGTTCAGTATGGGACCAACAGAATATTCAAAGCAGACAGAAATCAAACCACACTGACTTCTTGATTCTTTTTTTTTTTTTTAATGAACTGTGGAACTAGCATAACTGAACCTATGCCCACCAAAACTTTCATCAAGGTACTTACCTACTGTACAGCTGTATCTTAGGAAGACAGATTGGTTAAGACATAGTTTCTGTATCCTGTTTCATCGCCACCACTGTCACTGATAAAAAGAGGTGAAAATCATAAGGTATCTTGTGACTGGAAAAATAAAATATGCATTTTAAAGTTTTAAAAGAAAATGACAACATTTTATCTCAGCACTACTGCAAGTTTCTCAAAAATACACATACCAGCATAAAGTAAGGTGCTGTCATTTCCCAAAAAGTGCTTAATAATAAGAAGGGAATTTTGGCTAGTTTTCAGTAACTTTCAAACCTTTGACACACGATAGAGCACTAGGAGGTAGATTTTAATGTTCGTTATGGTAGAAAACACAATAAAAGACCAGGAGCATTGTGAAGTCCTGGAGACCCCACTGGCAGCAAATACACTTTCACTGTGTCCGATGGTGTATATTATAAATTCAGGCCCTTTCAATACTGGATTTTTTTGGGTTTCTTTGTTTTTACTGTAGGGCATAAATGCAGTTAAGTGTAGCATGGTGAAAAAAAACTCCCTACGCCACACCTGCCATTTGATATGAAGTGAATGCTTCCAGATTCCAAATGAACCTGTATCTTACTTGCTGCTTTGCATTGATCCAATTTCGCAAGTTTTTATTGTACTGTATATTAACTGTGAGAAGCTAATATAGATTTCCAAGTAGTTTCATAGGTACTTCCATAATATTTACATTATTCCTAATACTACACATTCTATTAGTTGTATGGATAAATACTTAAAGACAGTTCAAAGTGCAGATATTTTAGCTTTTTTTTTCATGCTCCTTTGCTTCAGATTTCACCTCTGTAAACCCACAGTTTTTCCTTGAAGTCATGTAAGGCATAATTCTACTGCTTCATTTTACAGAAAACAAAAGCACATCATAAGGGTTTTACTGCAAGACAACAAATATTGTTGAGTTTGTGTGATGAGTTGCCTGACCACTGTGAGTTAGGGGAAAGCCAGATCTGCTTGTCTCCATAGATACCCTCTTTTCTTGTTTTCCTTTTCAAAAAATGTCACCTACTGAGATAACACAATTTCAACAACTTGATACAATTCAGGTAACAGGAATTCACATTCCAGTCATTTCTGTGACTGCTAAAAGTGCTCTTGTGCTGTAGCTAGTGAAGAGGCATTTCAGCTATCTAGCTAAAGGAATTCTACAGGTCAGCTGTGTCTTGTGCGCATACTTTGAAACAAGTCATAAACATATTTATCATTATACCCTAACAGAGGAATGGGAGTAACACAACCATGGCAGTAACACAACTTCAGCAAAAATCATGGGCTTCATGTTCTGAATTCAGTTTGTTGTAAAATCATCTTTTCCAACAAGAGCATCATTTAATCTTTATCAAAGGAGGAACCACTTTAGTCCATTTACTGAGGGCATAATAACTCTGCATGAGTCAGTAGGTGCATTACAGAAAACTTGGTTTAATAGCCTGGAGAAAGAATATTTGCACCAGGTTTTATTAGCACTGAGATTATGGGACAACCTATCCTGAGTGACTAAGAACTATGTAATCTTCAGCTCAAACAGTAGACTAAGCATTTTATGTGTATTCCTCATAGAAACTACTAAGAATTCTCCAAATTTGAACCAAAAAAAAAAAAAAGAGTTCAAAGTCAAATTTCCAGTTCAGCCAGTTCATCCAGTGAGAAGGCTGGGCCTGTGCATAGCAGCATTGCTGCACTGTCAGGGAATTTGCTGAAATCTGTCAGTTAAACTTTCATTTACACCTTAGCTTTAAGTACCTCAGAGTGTGTAAAGGCTGACAGTCACACTGCTGTGTTTTAAAATCCTACCTAGAGTTTCAAATTAGAGTTTCGTTACAAGTTTGATACATGATAGCTTAAGGATAAAATAATGAATTCCAAACTACTAGTAGTTTCCAAGACTGAATGTGAACAAAACTTCTCTTAATTAGTTCCGTATGGAAATAGAGTGTTTGGGGTTTTCTACATCTGCTGGTACCTAGGAAAGAAGCAGAAGCACCAGCAAGGTGGTAAGACTCCATTCTGTGCTTCACAAATACGAGAAGTTTGAACAGCTCAAATGGTGTAAATCTGCGTGCTTATCCAAACTAACCTCAGATTTTTACCCTTCTGTTGTTTCACCCAGCACTGTGAGCTCAGTCTCCTGGCACTGCAACAAAACACTGCACACTCGGGAAATGCTGCTCTGGCAAGGTGCAGATTTCTTCCCAGTCCTCCCCGTTTGGAGGGGTATGCATCTCTCCTCCTGCCTCCTCCTTTCCCTATGCAATATGTTAAGGTGAATCCCCACAAACTACAAAATTGCCCTAATTTTATTTTCCTTTAAATTTCAGAATATAAAGCCAAGTTTATTGTTATTAAGAAAGCCCTGAAAATTTGTTTGTGTTACTCCAACCATAATTTCTTCCTCTCTAAAAGTTGAGCTTATCTGCCTTGCTGTATGAAATGGGTGCAGTCAAAATAATCACTACCGCAATGCAAATGAAACTAAAGACACTCTTAGAAGCTCATTCACCCCTTCCACTAACCTCATCCTCTGCAAAGGCCTAAAGTGCATTAATGGCCACGTAAATTCAGTTTTTATCCTGATTCTTAGAAAACAGTCCTGGTAAACTCCTGGCAGCTAGATTTTATTGAGAGAATTGTTTATACCTGCAGACTAATTGTTCCTTGCTTATATAATATACACATATTATCTGTTTACATAACTGCAAAGGTATGTATTTTTATCAAGTCATCAGAAGTCTCTGATGGTAACACCTAACTCATGTACGTATCCTACCCTCTTCACTGCACTAACCCTTGCAATAACTTTCAGCTGTGAGAGCCTCTACACCTTTAAAACCTCATTACCTTCTGTGCAGCTGTTCAGTGATTTCCATGGTTCATGCAGCCAGGCAGTACGAGGCTGTGTAAGGAGCTTACCTATTTCTCGCTATTCACGGTCACAACTGCTTTTTTCCAGCAGAATCTGTACTGTGTGAAGTACATTTTTGTTTTGGGGAACATGGTCTGTGAAGAAAGAGTAAGGAAAATGAACTCTGCATACTTTAAGCTTACCTTTTCATTGCCATTTAATTTACTAATTTCATAAGGTAATGCCAACAGACCGACTTTCAGGTGCTCTTTTACTCTCTCACACCACACATTTGTGCATTAGGTGCTAACATACAGTCTATGTCAGTGAATGGTATGATGAACGTCTGTATTTTTAACTCTTCTGGGATAAAGCTATATCTCCTAAGGCAGAAGAAAATAGCAGAATTATACTTGTTTACCCCATAAGCCAGAATATAAAATGCAAAAGCCTATTCAGTGGTATAGGGGGTTTTATATATAAATATCTATATCTATGGATTTATAAGCATATGCACATATATAAAAATACGTATATATGTGTATATTGCATAGCACGTGTGCGTATACATAAATACACAGCAATGTGATGTGTATACACTACACGCCAAATAATTAAGGGATGTCTACAGAGCAAAAATAGGTATCCATTTCATTAGAACTAGTGATGGGGCTGAACCAAAATCCTAGATCCAAATGCCACTGCATTTGGAAAGTGTGAACCTGTGTTTTGAGATTTGTGGTTGAGTTCCATCTCTGGTCACAGCTGCAGTTATGTGTGTATATATACATTCTGGGGTTGTGTGTGCGTGCATGTGTGTGCTTCTTCACAAGCACATGCCTGTGTGGGTGACAGGAATATATGTGCCAGTAAGTGTGCATGGGTTTACATATATACTTCCAGCTTTGGTGAACTATGATGTTGCTGTGTCATCTTCACCTGTACAGTTTTATCAGCAGCACGTGAATGCTTCCTTGGGTCACTTTGCAACTCTGTAAATCACTACATTGAAGTATTAAAGTTGTACAGTTATACATTCATCTATTCTTGCTCTGCTGTAACTTTTTATGTATTTTGTACCGCATAGATTATATATTGTGATAATGTCCTATGCAACAACAGCAAAGAAGGGAAAAAAAAGGAAAAAAAGAAGAAAATTAACAGCTGTAAAATATCGTCTTAACTTGTATGCATGGTTAGTGACGTTTACATTTCCCAAAATAAAACATAACTATGAAATACCTAATTTCCTTCTCTATGTGTCAGTTAAAAAGCATCAATTGTTAATATTTCTGCTGTTTGTTTGAGGCTTGATAACTTGTTTGATATGTTAGTTTAAATTTCACCATGTGCTGTTGTTTAAAATGGGATCTGTTTTTTAATCACTGAAAGTTTCTGTGGTGTGTTTTGCACTCTCCTCTGCTTTAAGCAGTATTTTACAGTTGCACAGTGAAATTATTTTCTCAAAGCCGGCATAGACTGTTTTTCTTTACAGGATAGTTACGGGATTAATATGCACGAGTTCAACGTCAGAGAGCCAACCATACTTTCAAAGTTCAGTTCTTTGCAGATTTCTGATACCATCTCTGCAAGTAGCAATGTCTCATCCAAACAGCAGTAATTTAATCTCACAGCACCCTGCAATGCTTTTGCCTGATTTTAAAGATGAGGAAATTGATACACAAGGGATTTGAGTGACTTTCTCAGAGACACGAGGCAATGGCAGATTATTGTCCTTTGAAAGCACCACCACACTCCCAGGGAAACAGTGCTGTACCCTAGAATGAATGTATGTCTATAGAACATTCTAACTGTTTGCAAAAATAATTTAAAATGGTGGACTACTATTGGAAGAGGAAAGCTGAAACATCCAATTGTGGGAATTAGTTTAAAAGGAGTATATTTTCTTTTGCCAGGGTCATGAAAACTTTTCAGAGCACATAATTTAGAGAGCCATTATCTTTAATCGCAGGTTTCCCTGTCGCAGGGTTGAACTGCTGGCACTGTTCATTATCTGCCCATGCGCCATTCACTTGTACATCTGTATGTGTCTGTGATCAACTGCTATTTTATAGCTCACTAAGTAACAGAATGCTTAACTGTGCTAATGCAGTATCTGAGGGCTTGTTATCTGAGCGTAACAGTCTCTGCGAGTGTGCAGTGGATTGCCCTTACTATTGGTGAGCCCTCACTGGAACACAAGACAAAGTGCTCTTGTCCAGCAGAAAGCCACAGGTAGCCTCTGCTACTAACATCAGCATGACATGGCCTCTTCCTGCTTATTCTCAATGTCCATGTTAGAACTGGGAAATCTCAGGCAGGGGATTCTCTGAAGCATTTGGGTTGTAAAAGTCCTCAAGCAAAAATCCTGGTAAACCGTCTACTACCTGAGTGAGCAGAAGTTCCCTTGCAGACCTTGTGTATCAGTCTGTTTGTTGAACTCCTACATTTCAGATCCACTGAAGTAACTAACAATGCCCCACCCCTGGCAGTCTTTCCCCTAATGCTTCCCCAGGTGTCCTTGTCACCCCATTCAATTTTCACACTTGAACAGACAGGTTAGGCTTTCTGTTCTAGCTGCTGTAGAAGTCTGGTTGCTTTTTGCTAGTTGGCTCCTATGGAAAGGGTTAGTGTGACATGTCTGGCTTCTGCCACTACCTGGTCTTCCAGCCAGTTGTTCTGTCTGAATTCAGTGTTTGTACTGGGGGAAGGTGGTGAGGAGTCTTTTTTCACTGATGCTGGAGAAAGCTGATACAGACTTGCTCCTCTTCTGTGTGAAGGAATGAGTCTGCAGTATCTTGAAAATACAGGTTACACATTACTTCTAAACACTGTTTTGTTTGTGAAAATAGCCCCTGAAGAGTAGCATTTCTGAAGTCTTCCTACATGAAGGATCCATCTTATGTCTGATAACCAAAGAGCAATCAAAGACTGTTTTCTAACCTTTCTAGAAGAAAAGAGAAACAAATCCTTCCAAAAGGATACGCTTCCTTTTCAGTTTAAGTATGGAGTTGTTGCCTTGGTACTGTAATGTTATGTGCCTCCCCACCCAGACACCCACACTCTCTGAAACATGTAGGTTCACACATTCTCACCTTCAAAAGAAACTTCTCCTCTCGGGTTGCTAAATGTATGGGTTTCTGTTTCGCCTGTGACTCAGCATTTGCCATGCAATGGTCACAGACTTGGCACTAGTCCACCAGTTCAGAAGAGAAGCCATACTACTGCTGGAATTAGGATGGGATTTTCCTATTTACACTGACCTGTAATAATTTCTGGCTTCAAAGCAGTCCCCTTCTGGCTCACTACCCCAGCTGTTCAAGGAACCACACCCATGGCATGCTTTGCTGTTTGACTGCAAGAGATTAAAGTGCCATAAATATAAATACACAGTCATAGAAATGGAGAAAAAAGTGAGAGAAGATGGAGATTGAAACCAAAAGAGGTGATGACAAAGAGACATGCCTGCTGTTTCCAGCAGCTGACCAGAAAGGCTCATACTGCACCAGAATACATGTGGGGCTGCCAGGCAGCACCTCTAAAGATGACCAGAAACTGCATCGTCTTTTCCAAGAGCAGTAGAGGAAGAAGCTAAGTCAAACAGTGATTCAAGCAGGCAAGCCCACATGTCTGTCTAGCTACAATGCACTGCTAGCAAGCAAACAGTATAAAGAGCAAGGGATTATTTTAATAGATTTCTCAATCCGTGCTCCAGACAAGGGAGGGGAGTCAGGATGCCCAGACATCTGAGCAGCAAGAGGGAAGCACTGGGAGCCAGATTTGTGCTTTGGGCAACTCAGAGAACAAGTTTGCGTTATACAAGTCTGGAGAAAATCAAATATTAGAAGAGTGAACAAGAGAGATCTGAGAAAACCTGAGAGGGGTTTTAGGCAAGATCAGTCCCCAGCGGTCTGCTAACAAAACCTAAACACTGATCTTAGCAATGAGACTGCCTCACCAGGAGAAAACAGCTCTGGAGTGTAATTGCTGCTGCATTGTAATTGTAAATAAAGGATTTACACTGATCTTAGCAATGAGACTGCCTCACCAGGAGAAAACAGCTCTGGAGTGTAATTGCTGCTGCATTGTAATTGTAAATAAAGGATCGACCTGTCCTACCTGGTTGGCACTGGCAGGAGCTTGGTTTAATCTTTGGTTTCTGCTGGCTGGAGCAATTCAACAGGAAAAGAGGGGGTGGCATCAGGGACTGGGCTAAGGAGGGCTCTAAGATGCTGTTGCTGGCAGGTTTCTGCTGAGCTGATGTTTCTTCTCTGCATGAGTGCCTAAATGTGCCTGCCTGAGCACACTGCAGCAGGTCTGAGCCTGCTGCATTAAAACTTGTTAGGTATGTGCCAAAGGGTCTCACAGGCTTACACTGCCCAAGCTGGCTTGTTGAGAGCCAGCCCAAGTGCCCTTCCCAAGGCCTACCAGGTACAAGTGGGGATCTCCCAGAGGGAAGGTTCCAGTGGGTGGATAAGAGAACACCATTGAGAAAAATGGGCCAGTTGAAGGACCAGAGAGATGGTGCTGGTTAGAGAGAGAGGTTCAGGCATATGGCAGCACAGTAAGAGGAACGAGATTCACAACTGTGGCAAACAGACAAAAGGCACTATAAATAGGCAAGGTATGGTAAAGAGGGGGAAGGTAAGTATAGAAAAACGAGAAAGAAGTACAGGGTAGGGCAATTTTATGTCATTTTCTAATACAAAAAGAAAGGTGTATGGTGCAAAATCCAAATGGGGGTCTAGAGGAAGGAGTAAGGTTGCTCAGGTAGTATTTCCAACAGACTAGAAGGTAAGGCATGTCAGTGTGTAATAAACAGGACTCTGTGTCTTTAAGAGACCAATGTTTGTGTTTTCCCATGCTCTCCTATTGTGGAAATAACTTTCTGAGTCATTTCTCTGATCCTGGAGACAAACTGAACAGACACAAAACATAATAAAACACAATAGCAACGGGAAGAGAGACATTCCTCCCTCCCCCTTCCACCACACGCGTTTCATGTCAGCAATCTGAGCACACTCAGAGCCTCCCAGTGGAAGAAGAGCTGGGAACAGCCCAACAGTGTTGTTTGGTACACGCGTCTGAATTGAGCTCGCCTTCCACTACATAAACAGGTAAAAAATGGAAGGCACACTTCCCCCAGTCTGTTACTTGTAGATACGTTACTCGCTCTCTTTGGTTTAAAGTCTTACCCTCAGATCCTCCGCAGACCATGAACTGCAACAGGCATTTGCTACCTTTCATAAACTTCAAAGCTCAGCACTTCCAAGACCCTGTAAATTTTCTCTCAAGCCTTGTGCCCCACCCTCTGCAAGAAGATGTCAGTCTGGGGCTCTCAAAACACCACACTTGGAAGCTCACATACAGCTAACATCAACATCACAACTGTGTTCCCAGAACGGAGTAATGACATGGGCACCCCCACACGGGGCTGGCCCCACACCAGGCTGTATCATGACTTCCTGCACCAAAACACAGGATCACCACATCAGAGCTCAGTCCATTTTCCCTGTTGCATACTGAGAACTCTCAAACCCTTTGCTATCACAGACAGCAAGGCCCCGTGAGGTTGTCACATCCTTGCAGGTTTGGTTTAACACGCAGCCTTTTTGTTAACTTGGAATTCATAAAGCCGATCCCCAGCTTTCCCACTCTCGGGAGGCCATTTGCAGCCTGCTGGGAGGAACGGGATGACTTGACAGGAAGAAAAGAGTTTTGCGCAGGACTGTGAATCCCTCCCGGCCGCTGCAGCGAGCCCTGCTCATGGGACCAGGGCCAAGGGGGATGCCCGTGCTCCTGGGCAGCAGGCAGGGCTGGCTGCAGACCCCTCAGGAGAAAAGACCTACATCCACCTCCTGCCCCACGGGAGAGGAATCGCTCCCAGAGGCTGAGGGTTTGGAAGCAGCCACAGGGCTCCCCAGCTTTTCCAGCTTTCCTGAAGACCGGCTGTCCAATGGCTTCCCCTTACCATGCCCTCGCATGCAGCGATACTGAGTAACCCGGGTGAGCGAAGGGAGGCAAGCCCAGGAAACAGGAACCCTGTGGAGGGTGGGGCTGCACAAACAACGGGGCTGGGTGAATAAATCATGCCTGGCTGTTGGCCTCACTGTAAGAAACCTTCCATTAAGGCTCCAATGGGTATTTTTGGACTCTGCTGTCTATTTTTAGGAGGCATAATTAATACTGAAGGAAATAAGGAAAAAAAAATAAAATCAAGCTTTAAGCCCAAGAATGGAAAATTTGGACTCCACAAAATTGCTGTGATTAAAGACAACTGAAAAGGAGGGGTCATATTTCAGGAATAAAAATATGCTACAGATTACTGTAAAAATTGTGTATTACATGGTATTGGCTAAGAGAGGCGAGGCATTTCAAGAAGGCAGTGCTTCACCACTTAACTGTTACTAAACAGGAATGAAGCACAGCTGAATGCCCGGCTTTAAATCACAGCTGTACTCTGCCTGCTTTTGTGTCGCCCTGAGCTGTGCTGAGGCTCCCAGCGCCTCTGCTTTGGGAGGGGCTGCATGGGACCTCCAGAACAACTGGCACAGGCTCTGCCCAGTCCTGTGCATGGCATCAGGCAGCAAGAGAAAAATCACAGCCAAGTTACTGAGCACCCTTGCCAGGCCCTTAAAATAGACTGCCTGAAGAACAAGGCTATTGTAAGGACAGAAGATCTGTTTTATGAACCAAGATGGGAGGCTCTTAGGAAAAAACCCACCCTCTTGGATATGAGAGCCAAAACGCGATGGAACAGTGTGTGCGATGCTTTCAAAATTCAGCTATTATTTTACTAACAGCAGTTGTTTAGATTCACATCCCTCAGCCTTACGACAGTCATCTATCAACGTTCATGTTACCGTTGCCTATAGAAGAATTAAGCCTTTCCTTAGCCACCTTCTGCTTGCGAGTTCATCCAGCTCCTAGGTGACATGTACCTAACAACAGCCACTGCCATCAACATGTGTGGTACCTCACAGACACGCACAGGTTGCTGATGTGAGCACAGGACGAGCGCTTTCCTCCTTACCCAAAGCCTGCTTCAGAGGAATGATCTGGACACTGAAGCAGAATTAGCCCTGCCTGCTTGTCAGCACAGTCCTGCCTTAGAGCTGCAGGATGTGCTCTCCACATATCCTCTCTTGACCCTACTAATTCTTTAGTTCAGGTGGCAAATTTGTAACATGCTTGGTAATGTATTAACCTAATTAATTCTGCAAAGCATTGGTTACTGTATTAAATCCCAGTGTCCTGGGTTCACCTGTAACAATGATTTTTCTCCTTCCTAGTAGCTGGTGCAGTGCTGTGTTTTGGCTTTAGTCTGAGAACAACACTGATAACACACTGATGTTTTAGCTGTTTCTTAGTAGCACTTGCCCTGATCAAGGACTTTTCAGTCTCATACTCTGCCAGTGAGGAGGGGCACAAGAAGCTGGGAGAAAGCAGGGACAGGACACCTGACCCAAACTAGCCAAAGGGGTATTCCATACCACAGCACATCATGCCCAGTATAGAAACTGGGGGGAGTTACCTGGAATACTGTGCAGAAGATGGGAAGTCAGTAACAGATTTTACAACTGACGCTGATACCAAATTAAACTCACGATTCTTCTCTGTTCACATAAATTATGGCATTTGAATGTTACCTGTAAGCACCTAAGTAGTAAATATACTCACACATGTAATAATTAAAATGCATTAACTGAGTCCTAAACTAGCCACTGCCATTTGCTCCACATCCTTCCTACTCACTTGAATTGAACAATCATTAATTAATCATTAGCTCATTATTACAATTGGCAGATGAAGTCTAATTAATTTTACTTAAAAAACCCAAACATCCCTCGAGCTGCAATACCATGACTTACATGCAGTTGGATCTTGCACAAGAGGTATGGATGCTCAAGTCTGCCTTGCTTTCATTCCAGTCCCTCCAACAGTTTTCAACTTTTGTGAGCACCGTGCAGATGATTTGCTGTAGAATGAAGAAAGTAAATTCAGTATTATTGTGCACAGCTCTGAGAACCATGGCTTTTTTTACTCAGATGGTTCTGTGACCTTCTTGAGGGAACAGGGTGATGGGACATTTATCTGTGCAGTGTTTTCTCCTTGCAAGTGTAACATGGGGCACAACAGAGTGAGACTAGGAATTCTTTAGGCATCTCTCCAGCCCCAGGAGCTCAGTTAGCACTATATGCTATTACAAATAAGCATCTATCACCAGGTTTCTATGCTGTGGTATGTGATCCCAACACCACTTCTTGCATCCCCACAGCAGGAGATGAGTAGATGGTTGTTAACTGGTACTGGTTGTCCAGGGGCAGCTGTAGTGTGGGTTCATGCAGTGAGCAAGCCCTCAGAGGAGGAGGGTCATGCAAACCAGAGCCATTTGACAGGGTGACCCAAAGGAGTCATTACTTACTAACACCAATTTCCCTCTTTGATACTTTTAATAAGAGAGATTAGCAACAAGCAGCATAAACTGAAATGCTGTTTTCCAAACTTGTGGATTGACGGCACACTCATCCATGACAGTTCTGAGCACACCATGAAAAGGAAACAAATCTGTAAAACAAGTTGAAGGAATCCAAATGCTTAGATCTCGGCCAGGATGCCCGCTGGGGAGGCCAACCAATGCTTGATTTCAGCAAGTAAAGCCTTGTGTTGCTTTAATGTCCTTCCCTCAGGGAAGTCTTCATGTGTTTTCTTAAGTGTAAATTTCAGTTCTTCAAGCAAGTCTGCCCTATGTTTTCCTGAAGCTCTCCTGGAGTTGATAAAGCTCTAGAAGGATTCAGGAGTCTGATCATATTAAACAAATTGTATGATTGTGGTCTTTAAATCAAAACAAAGAGAGTGCTCAAGAATTATTTCATGTGCCACTGCAATAAAGGTAAAATAATTCCAGTATCAATCAGCCAGGCAGATAAGTTTAATACTAAAATGTCCTTCTGTTTAAGAGCCATACGCCTAGAAACTAATCATGCCACTTAACAAAACTCTAGCAAATGCAGAGATTTGAGCAAGCCCATAACCTCCAGAGTTAGGTATGCTGACCCTTAGCTTCTTTCCTGTCTCTAGGTACAGCATCATGAAGAAAGGAAGAAAGGAAGAAGGAAGAAAGAAGTCCTAACAGTGGGTTGCCGTATTAGTAGATGGATACCTTGGAGATCTGCAGAACAGGTAGACATATTCAAAGATTTATCTCTCCCTTCTCCAAGTATTTTACTGATTTATCCCCAATTCAAATTCAACAACTGTTTACGCAGATTGTGAACACAGGCACAATAATAAAATGGTTAATATGGAACCTGCATCAAGAAGGAAATAAAGGTAAAATAAAAAATGTTTATGTTGTAGAAATAGGCCCCTTCAAACATTTTTAGATTACTTGAAAAGATTAGAAGTTTATCTGATAAGTAATTCATTACCAATCCAATGTCTCAAGAGAGGCCTACCCCCACACTAAGAGTTTTATCAGTCACCAGGAGAAAGTGATTGAAAGAATTATGAATAACATTAGAAGATTAAATGATTGGATGCTAGTAGAGAGTAATGTGGATTGCTTAGTAAACTAGGTACAAACAAACCAAGCTTGCTTGATACAATCAGAATTAACTCACGTATTTAGGAGAACAACTTGGCTATACTCACCAGATGGAGGATTCCAGCTCACGAAGCAAGGACTCTGAAAAATACTAGGTGGAAGAGCAAGGAATTAGAGTTCCTTGTACAACTTATGGCCAGGAAGACTAAAGATAAATAAGTATACAATAATTTCAGTTAGGAAATAAACTTCTGCTGACACACAGACACTGTCAGTTCTTATACAGAATCAATCTAGTTCAGAAGAGAGGCTGTCTAATAGTCTGCAGCAGCATCTGAATGAGTTAATTCTTGTTGTAGCTGAAGTGTTTTTCACAAAAAGCTTTCAGTCTCATTCAGGTATCTCCAGATCAAGGGAGATGTTAAAAGGCCAGAGGAGACTTGAAGCACAGGCATGAGAAAGACTGCATTCCAGAAGCTGCAAATAAACCTTTGCAACAGCCTTGGGAAGCACAATCTGCTTACCCTAAACAGAGAGGTCAAGGGATGGCCCCATCAGTGGGTACAAGCAATTCAAGGAGAAATACAGAGAACTCAGACAAGAATGAAATGAGATCTAAGGGCAGAAACTGGAGTTACTTACCGCATGTAAGATGACTTCTGCAGCACCAGGGAGTTCTCTCAGAAACCACTGCAGTTCAAACAGCTGTTTGCAGATATCCTGCCCGCTGCCTGTTCACAGATGCCCTGAGGACGGTCACAGCAACAGTCACGGGCCAGGCTGTACAGCAGCACAGTGGCTTGGCAGCACTGTACCTTGGCACGGAGGAGCCTTGTGCCTCTGGAGCCTGGGAACTAGGAATACTCCGTGGAAATGAAAGCTGAGCAGGCCTGGCAGTGCCTGATTGTCGGCCTTTGCCTCAGATTGTCAGCGTTACCCAATTGATCCAAATTAACCTTGAAATCAAATGGAGTGAACTCTGTGGCAGCAGAACGAAAGCTTGTGATGAACCAATTAACCTCCCTGGGTGTGCAGCATGCTCCTGGGGCCCGGTTTCTTTTCTAGGCTTTAGTGTTTCCCCAGCACACACTGCGGAGAGCACACAGAGATCACAAACAAGAATTCAAGCATACGGATACTTTAGAAATAAGTTAATTTTATTGAATAGGCATTACAGCTTCTCTCTCTTTCAAATAATGGAGAAGCCAATTCACACAGATTACAGAGCTATCAGTTACTTTGAGTAATCTTTCATAAAAGAAAGAAATTAAATACAGTTCTGCTATAAAAAGTGCAACAGTTGTAACTGGAAGGTTTTCAAAACAAAAGCAAGTTTTACTACCTATTGCAAAAATTGGTTTAGTGCTTTAATACTTTACAAAGTAACAATCCAACCGCTAAAAACAGCTCTTGCACATCATCTTTGTCAAAGTATGGATCAGATTAAAAATGACATTTAAATTGAATTTGAATGAAACCTGCATGTAGAAAAGGTTCTCAAGAATTCACACTTCACAACAAAAAAAAATCATTATCCTTCAACATTAATTAATGCTCCTGTTTCTTTTGAACAATGGATTTAAACACAATAATGGCAGTCATCCTAACAATGATCAACTGTTTTGTTTGCAGACGGAAGGGACTGCAACCAATCGTGTCTTTAAATTATGAATAGGGAAGGGAATGGGAAAAGAGAAATCCACTCCTTTCATACGGGATAAAAGTTTTGCATGAAAATGGTCAAACAGAGAAACCTGAAGTCACTCCAGCTGTAAATAAATTTACGATACTTCTGTTGTTTACTGAACTCCTACATCAATCTCTGCTAAATTTGTATGCATTTATAGAAGGCAACAAGAAACTCAAATCCTGACTCTGAAAAATGAAGGTGGTAAGACTCCCAAGAACTTGAATTCTTAGCCAGCAGAAATCACCCACGCTTGCTTTATTCCTTATTAACATTTATTTAAGCCCCGGTGAGAGCCAAGCACTCCCTCTCCTTGAAATTCAGACTTCAAGTAAGAATCCATCTATGGTACATTTCTGCACTCTTTAAGAATGCTGAGCTTGCTGGGTTACTACAAAGAGACACATCACCTATCCTGATTTCTTAAACTTCATATAATAAGCTTTGGTTAGAATTGAGCAGAGACCCTCAGTTAATGAGCAAATGAACTTCTATAAACTAAGGGTGTGACATCTCTGTTATTTTACGTTTGGGGAGACAAACCAGTCTGCATGCAATCTGAACTGAGAAAGCCACATCTTCTGGACTGGAAAATCTACCCCGAGCTTTAAGGGCAAAGAGCTTTAGAATTTGTCTAAGCAAGTAGAAGATGAAAGGAAAAATGTTAGCCATAGAAACAAAAAAGACGTACAAGTGACTTGGGGAGGGCATATTATACAACAGTAATCATAAAGTTATGATGAATTAGCTATACCTTTTGAGTATAATAGTTCAAGCTGTCCTTCAAAATTTGTCCATATCTGAGAGGCATTAGGTTTTAACACCACAGAATCGTGTAACCAAAAAGATAAAGCACACCGACTGGCAGAAATACATGTAAACAGCATTAATATTTTCAATGGGTCATTCCACTTTTCCATATAAAAATGTTAGTCACAAGAATCCATGAGGAAGAACGAGGCCTTCCAAGGAGAACAAAGTCTTTCAGCCACACAACAGTCAACTTCAAGGATTATGGAAAGTTTGTAACAGTATTTTATGTCTTAAAATTGAATGTGAAATAAAGCTCTAGACAGATTCCAATGAGAAAACAAGACTTTTACACAGATCTGAAACCTGCTTCACTAGCAGGGTAGGAGCTTGGAAAGATGCAGAAGGAATTGCTCCTTCCCAGGACAGAGCACAAACCTGATCTAGATCACTGGGATACAGCTTTGTACCGAACTGTCAAAGCTGGCCTGGAATACTATGGTTGGGAACTCCTAGCTGCTGAAGTCTGTGTAGCTTATTACATTCATTATTTAATCTAGGCTTAAATCCTGTTTGTTCTCCTTGGTTTATAGATCATGTGCATGCAAATCTCTGAGCAGCTCCGAGGGAAAAGCATTTTTTGTACTGTACACACACTATGTGCCTCATACAAAGACTGTATTTACAGTACTCAGTCTTGAGCAAACAAACAATACAATCACCGATTAATTTGTTAGTGCTAAAACATAAGTGCACACACTTTGCAAAGTTTAGAGACGAGCGCTTCTATCACGCCCGCATGGCTGTGTTTCGGTTCATACCTGATTGCACGCCCTTTAAGAGGAGATGCAGGGCACTCTCGGAGCCTGAGGTGCCATGTTTTGCTGCTACGGCTCCTGCATATTGTAACCAAAAGCATGGGGAAGAGGCTTTGTTACTTAAAACTGGAGGCAAATGACAACAAGGCAGTGTTCCACTTCATCTTCACCGAAAAGATGCTGCTCTGACACCACAGGCCAGCATGAACTGTATGTGTTTTAAAGGCAAGAACGACCAGATTTGCTCTGTTCAAGCGAGTTTGGCCATGGCTTGCAGGCTCCTGATATACTGTCAGGCTTCATCAGACAAAGCTCATGTGCCAAGGGGTTCTAGTTATGTGGCAAAGCAGCCACATGGGATTTAAACAGGCAGCTTTTACGTCTCCGCTTGCCTGAGAGGGAAAGTGCAACTCCAGGATCATTCCATTTTCATGTTTATATTGATTTTGCACGTGAACAGAGGAAGAACTGGGTCACTACCACACAAGCTTATTCTTTAAACTCCGCCCTCCCTTTTTATGAAAACCCCAGCATTTGAAAGGGACAAAATGGAAATTAAATACACAACTCACACACAGGAGTGAGGCACTCTTTAGTTCTAACATGGGATCATATTGTGCAGGCTCAGAGGATTCTGCCACGAGAGTATAATTTATTTAGTTTAAGGAAAGAAAAGTTGTTTTTCTCTCCCTCCTTCCCCACGAGCAAACCTCTGCAACACAGTCAGAGACTACATTCAATGCAGAGATGAATGGCAAAACAGCATTTCCGTGTTCCCAGAATACAGGAAGAGCTACAGAATTTCCAGTCTTGACAAGAAATAGTTTTTGATACATTTTAACTATTTTCCCTCTTTTTAGTATTTTGGTGACATGGTTACTGTGTTAGTTACCATAATAATCTCCCTATTTTTACCCTCATCCTCTCTTTTGATGGAGGTTTCCTGACACTTATCAAGTAATTACAATTTCTTAAAGAAACCTTTCTTTTAAGATGAGACATTACTCAGATGACTGTGCATACAGTTCTGCAGACCACAGCAGGCTAGGGTGTTTTACAGGCATGGTTAAATGAGGAAGTGGGACAGAGGCTGCATCCAGTTAAGTGACTCTCAGTCCCCAGAAAGTCATCATTTTAAGGCTGTTTGGAACATGGTGGCTTTTACCCATATCGCGTGTTCCACAGTGCAAATGTGCATCAGCCATTTCAATTCTCTTGGTACAGCGCATGCATTCAGGTAACGGGAGATAAAACAGCAATCAGAACAGCATATTCACTTGAGAGGCAAGAAACCCAACCAAACAAACCAGAGTGATGATCATTATAGCCAAGAAAAAAAGGTCTTATATCCCTCCAAAATAAGTGGAATACACTAGCCCCGTTAAGAATGCAACAGTTAAATGGACAATTATATGGTGTTTTGGTACAAGTCTCTCTACACTCAAGCAATCACTTTATGAGTACGTCCAATTACTTGCTCACACATGGAAAATTGCTAAAGAGAAAATGTAAATTCCATTGACTGAAAGAAGTGTAAACCAATAAAGAAAAGCCCCAAACACACATTGGAGAAATGCACGCTTGGTTTTCCAAAACCAAGAAAGAACTTTTGCTCCCACAGGAATTGATGCTCAGTATATCTTAAAACCAGCCTCTCTATTAGGAGAAACTTAGATGCAGAACCTTCATGTTGGGCACCTGGATTTGATCATTTCAGTTGCAGTACACACCTTAACAAACCAACCCCAAACAAAATAAACCACAAAAGTTATGAAATTTTAAAGCCTAACTTAACAAATGCATTAGTTTGCAACATCTTTTTTGCACAGTTCACCAGTAACTGATATGTACAGTACAAAAAACTATGAAGAAATTAAATCTGAACACCTTAATCTGCAAGAAGCTAATGCATATTTGATACCTATTAAGACACAGTGTACCTGCCAATTAGAGGATTGATCTAGGGTGATTTTCTTCCCACAGGTGCTAAATGATTGCACTGGGTATTCCTTCTTGATGTTCATTTGGAAGGAATAATAAATCTCTGATTCTGTTTTCAAAAAAGGCAAAGCAATTCTACTCCAGTGGATTCAGGGTGTATCCTGAATGTCCCAAGTCAGTCAATG